TCTGAAATCAAGAAATCAGAGAGAAGCCAGAAAAGCAAGTGGCCCAAAAGCAGGCCTGTCTGGGTGATTCCCAAGCTCTTTCCTGGGCTCCCTTTTCCTTTGAAATTCCCCAGATTAAGCTAAAACATTGATCAGGGAAAATCAGACCTGCTGTCTGTATTCCACTCTTATGTAAATATTTAATGTTTCCCTAAAAATACACAGGGTCTCCAAAGAACAGGGACGTATAGATTATAGTCCTTTCACAAAGTTAGGGACACTTGGCCTTAGCATCTCCTTTTCCTCTCTGAGGCCACAAGCACTCCTCTGCCAAGTCTCACATCCCCTCTGCTTTGCACCATCTTCAAAAACCCACTCCAAGGCCAGCTCCTTCTGTGGGCTCCTTCACCTGGCCCCAGTGTCTCCCATTGTTCCCTGCTTTAGTGTTTGGGATCTCAGGAAATACACACCAGTGTTGTTACGCATCTGAGCCAAGCATAGTGAGAATTGCAAATTAACAAAGTATATCCCTCTTTGGCATGGACAAGGACACTGGAAATGACTGTCTGGGAACTACCCCTGGGCTGCATATTCACACCACACCCCTCCCCAGGAGCATGGACATTAAGAGGAGACTGTATGGAGTGTTTTGTTTGTTGAAAATTAGAGCCACAAGGACACAGGCACTGAGTTCCACCCTCTCTGGGTGGTGGGACCTGCAGTGAGGAGAGGCTTTGTCCATAGCTGCCTCACACAACTTTCCTGGGCCCTGACCCTCACCAGACCCCTTGTGCCCTGGGAAATCCCTACCCATTTCTGCTTTGTTCACAAACACACATCCCCCAACATACCTGATGTTACTCCCCTTGGTGCTACAGGGGCAGACACTATGGTGAAAGGTGCGTAGCCAGGGAATGAGCAGGATAGAGGCACCACGAAGAGGATGAGTTTTTGCATTAAAAATGCAGCACAAACTAGTATATACACACCCTTCACCACTACCACCAGAAAGGAAGGCCAGGCCAGCCCCAATCCCCGCCCCTACCCTGGGGCAGCAGGTGCCCAGTGGGACTCCCGTGCCTCCTCAGAGCAGATCCAGTGGCCCTTCGAAACTGATTTTATTACCTCAAACTTGGTGGGATCCAGACCGTTATGCCCAGGATGCAGCCCCCAGGGACCCTCTCAGTCAGGAGGCAGAGACTAGGGAAATGTAACACTAAGAAAGATCTTGGTCCTCCCAAGATCCCAGAGGACCAGTGTGCCGCTGGGGACACTCTGCAGGCCACAGAAGGACTATTGCCAGGGAAAAAAGCTCAAACGTTTTTCTATGTCTTGAGAATAAATGTTTTCTTGTGGCAAAATATCTTCTTCCTAGTCAGGTCTTTTCTTAAATCTCTTTTTTAATCCTGAAGAAAATATGGCTGGAGAAATGAGTTCTTCTTGTAAAACAGGTAAAAGAAAGTCGTCCATCAGAAACCCCCCTGCACCTCATCACATCAAGGCATTCACCCTTACAGCAGAGGGAACTGAACAGACACCCCAGGTGGGGCTTCTTTGGGACTGTCACTTCATGAATAGGCCAGAGAGAGAGAATTTTCCAATGGACTGCCCCCATCCAGGCCATCAGGGAAAATGCCTTCCCACCAGAGGGCTGAGTTTTCATTCTGGGTCCCACATAAAAGGTCTGTGTTAACTGTCCTTTAATAACATCTGTCCAAGATTCCTGGAGAACAGAGGCTATGGGGAGATGGGTTCCTACAGCCCCTACTGATAAAAAATAAATTAAAAAGTTATCCCCTGAAAGATGCAAAGGGTACAATGCAAGGGTAAGGGTTAAAGTTTTATTTAAAAAAATTTTTTTAAGAGTGAAGTAGTCTGAAATCAAGAAATCAGAGAGAAGCCAGAAAAGCAAGTGGCCCAAAAGCAGGCCTGTCTGGGTGATTCCCAAGCTCTTTCCTGGGCTCCCTTTTCCTTTGAAATTCCCCAGATTAAGCTAAAACATTGATCAGGGAAAATCAGACCTGCTGTCTGTATTCCACTCTTATGTAAATATTTAATGTTTCCCTAAAAATACACAGGGTCTCCAAAGAACAGGGACGTATAGATTATAGTCCTTTCACAAAGTTAGGGACACTTGGCCTTAGCATCTCCTTTTCCTCTCTGAGGCCACAAGCACTCCTCTGCCAAGTCTCACATCCCCTCTGCTTTGCACCATCTTCAAAAACCCACTCCAAGGCCAGCTCCTTCTGTGGGCTCCTTCACCTGGCCCCAGTGTCTCCCATTGTTCCCTGCTTTAGTGTTTGGGATCTCAGGAAATACACACCAGTGTTGTTACGCATCTGAGCCAAGCATAGTGAGAATTGCAAATTAACAAAGTATATCCCTCTTTGGCATGGACAAGGACACTGGAAATGACTGTCTGGGAACTACCCCTGGGCTGCATATTCACACCACACCCCTCCCCAGGAGCATGGACATTAAGAGGAGACTGTATGGAGTGTTTTGTTTGTTGAAAATTAGAGCCACAAGGACACAGGCACTGAGTTCCACCCTCTCTGGGTGGTGGGACCTGCAGTGAGGAGAGGCTTTGTCCATAGCTGCCTCACACAACTTTCCTGGGCCCTGACCCTCACCAGACCCCTTGTGCCCTGGGAAATCCCTACCCATTTCTGCTTTGTTCACAAACACACATCCCCCAACATACCTGATGTTACTCCCCTTGGTGCTACAGGGGCAGACACTATGGTGAAAGGTGCGTAGCCAGGGAATGAGCAGGATGGAGGCACCACGAAGAGGATGAGTTTTTGCATTAAAAATGCAGCACAAACTAGTATATACACACCCTTCACCACTACCACCAGAAAGGAAGGCCAGGCCAGCCCCAATCCCCGCCCCTACCCTGGGGCAGCAGGTGCCCAGTGGGACTCCCGTGCCTCCTCAGAGCAGATCCAGTGGCCCTTCGAAACTGATTTTATTACCTCAAACTTGGTGGGATCCAGACCGTTATGCCCAGGATGCAGCCCCCAGGGACCCTCTCAGTCAGGAGGCAGAGACTAGGGAAATGTAACACTAAGAAAGATCTTGGTCCTCCCAAGATCCCAGAGGACCAGTGTGCCGCTGGGGACACTCTGCAGGCCACAGAAGGACTATTGCCAGGGAAAAAAGCTCAAACGTTTTTCTATGTCTTGAGAATAAATGTTTTCTTGTGGCAAAATATCTTCTTCCTAGTCAGGTCTTTTCTTAAATCTCTTTTTTAATCCTGAAGAAAATATGGCTGGAGAAATGAGTTCTTCTTGTAAAACAGGTAAAAGAAAGTCGTCCATCAGAAACCCCCCTGCACCTCATCACATCAAGGCATTCACCCTTACAGCAGAGGGAACTGAACAGACACCCCAGGTGGGGCTTCTTTGGGACTGTCACTTCATGAATAGGCCAGAGAGAGAGAATTTTCCAATGGACTGCCCCCATCCAGGCCATCAGGGAAAATGCCTTCCCACCAGAGGGCTGAGTTTTCATTCTGGGTCCCACATAAAAGGTCTGTGTTAACTGTCCTTTAATAACATCTGTCCAAGATTCCTGGAGAACAGAGGCTATGGGGAGATGTTTCTACAAACATTTCCAGGAGGATCCTTTATGTCACCTTCCATCTCTTACCTCTGAAGAGTCACACTAGTAAGGTCAGGTCCGTTAGAACCCCTCACTCGGGAGCATTCTGGTGGCCAGGATGTTTAGTCTGAAGGAACAGTGGGGCCGAGGCAGTGGGAAGGATACTACTTTGGCATTCCTTAGACCTTTGTTTGGATCCTGGACTGTCTAACCTTAGTAAAGCTACTTAACTTCTCTGGCCTTAATTTCCTCATCCATAAGATGGAGACAATAATACTGTTGCTGTGAGCAATGAATGAAATACATATATGACGCTTAGCAGGTGTTTATGAATACAGGCTCCCTTCTCCTCCCCTTTCCTACCTTTTCTCCCACCCCACCCCAATGTGGGTGGCCCAGACTGACTCTGATGTTTCAGCAAAGTCCAAGGAGAAATGCGGAGAGATCAATCTCACCCTGTGAGAATCAGAGTGAAGGTCACCTCCACGGCCAGAATGATCTGACCCTCCTAATCCCTCCACCCACATAAACCAGTGGTTCTCAGATTTAGTTCCTAAAAGAATCACCTGGGAGCTTGTTTAAATTCGGAGTCCTGGGCTCAACCCAAACATGGAACTTCTTTGTGATTCAGTAATTTGGACGGAACCCGAGATTTGCATATTTAAAAAGTATCCCCCAGGGGAGTCCTGCTGTGGTGGTGGTCCACTGCCCACACTTGGAGAAGCCCTGAAACAGCAGGGCCCCGAGTGGGCTAGGAAAACAAGGAAGGAGGCAGGCATCGACTTGGCTACTAGAACACTTGTCGCCATCTACATTTAATCATGCAAACTGAAAGAGAGAAGGAGCACACAGGAATCACCCAAATACAGTAAAATTCCAGGCCACCAACAGTAAAAACTTCAGCCATTAACTTCAGTCTTCCCATCCTGACATACAAATTGCTGAGGGGCACTCTGGGAACTACAATCCCTCAGATGAGTGAGGGACCTCCTGGAGCCCCAGCTCCACTTTCCCCGCAGCCCCCTCGACGCTGAGGCAGCACGCACAGTCCCTCACCCCAGGGCAGAGGCGCACCCACACACTGCCATCCCTCCGTCTGGCTCCTGTCCCAGAGTACACGTCAGTACTCAGTGTCTGCTAGCCTGAAGTTAGTTGGGGAAGAAAGTAACTAAGCAGTTTGTATCAAAAAGCCTTTACACCCCTTTCCTGCACCACACAGAGAGGAGAACCATGGAGGTGGCCATATGCCAAACCAGGGTTACGCTCAAAGAGTAAATCGTTAACTGCAACAAGAGGGGAATTGGAGAGTTATCCTGGGTCCCCAGAAAGGGGAAATTACTCAACTGACAGTTGAACCTGGGAAAGAAAAGCTTTCCCGCGCCTGCTCCCCACCCTCACCCAGAGCCCCGCCACCTCTATGCAAATGTCACCCATCTCGCACTGGAGCAGGCCCCCACTATGGAGGGCACGCAGAGGGCCCTGCTGCTGATGGCCATGCCCCCCAGGCCAAGAGGGACGGTGGCATCAAGGTCCCCACAGACCACGCTGCCCTGGGAACGGCTCACACCTGTGAATGGAGACACTGGGTCAGAATTCTCTTCTATCCCAAGATGGAATGATCCAGAATGTACTGAAACCAATGATTAACTCTCTTCACACTCGGAGGGACCAGCAACATGAATCTTTTAGGCTATAGACAGATGTAAACTCATTGCCATAAGCTTCTTGAAGTCGTGTGTTTAGCAAACCAGACACCTAACTCTACTTGAACCAGATGACTGAGATATGTTTATACCTCTTTGAGCAACTGAAGGATCACCATGCCGAAATCATCTAGAAATATGGTTTCTGGAAAGATGAGGGGAGCAGATAGACACCTAGCCTAGGGGCTGTGTACACATTGGATTATTGAAGGTAAAGATTTAAGAGCTTCCTTGCAGTGGCCCCAGGTGATCAGGATAGACATCTGGTGTTTCTTCTTATTAAAACGTTGTACCACTTGAGGCATATTCTGTGTGTAACTGAAAGACTTATGCTCTTTTTGCAGAACCAGTTAGGGGGGCAGAAATTACCACTTTCATTAGCTTAGGCTTCATGGATGGTCCAAATGAATCCAAGAAGGGGCCAAATATTTCAAACCATCCATTGGCCCAGACCCCAGAGACCTCAGCTCCTATCCTCCCTGCCCAGTGTCCCACAGTCAGAAGTTCTGTCACTCATTAGATGCAACGCAACATTAACACTACTGACTCCCAAAGGAACCACAGCCACATACACGCAACTTACAGATGTTGACCGAGCCCACACCTTCACACACCCTGCAGGGGGGAAGAGTGAGTGAGGTTTAGAACCGAGTTCCACCTCTGCAGCAGGCCTATTTTCCTCTCTCCTGAAGGAGGGAGGGGAGATGAGGGTCCAGGGCATGCTACCCACCCTCCACAGGCAGCATCAGTGTCTGCACTGCTCCGTGGGACCCCCAAAAGAGAGGGGAAAGCTAGGTTGCAGGATCCAAAAGGCCAGTCATGTCTTGTTTGCTTCTTGGCCAGGGAAGCGTGGTGTATGAGAGGCAGAGATGGGGGTTGTCCTCCCTGTCCTGTGGCTAGAAATTCCAGCAAAGTCAAGAAATAGGTAAAGGGAGCAACTACTGCCTAGCTGGACACCCCTGCGTGGAAAAAAGTTTGCCTTTCACCCAAGCTTATCTATTTTTATCCCACAATTGTAAAAGTTATCCCAGATATCCACCTGGCTGATAAATGCAGGAGGCTGGAGAATGGAGTGGATAAGAGCCTGGACTGTGGAGCCAGGATGCCTGGGCTCAAATTTGGCTGAGCCTCTTACTGGTTGGGTGACCTGGGGCAAGTCACCTGACCTTTCTGTGCCTCAGTTTCCTCAGTGATGAAGTGAGGATGATAATACCCATCTTCTAGGAGTGTTGTAAGCTCTACAGGTCATGTGCCTACAAATAGAGCCTGGCACACAGTAAACCCATTCTAAGTGTTCGCAACTGACACTATAAACACGTCGTTAATGGTGAGACATTCACACCACCATAGCAGGCTCTTCATAACCTCTCCCACTTCCTACACCTACCTGCACCTTCTGTTCTGTGTCCCCATTTTTAACCCCCAGCTTCAACCCTTTTCTTCCAGTAAAGCTCTAGCCTGACTTATTCTACCCAACTCAGAGCACTTCTGTGTACCACAGCTTTTCAATCAGGGTATATGCTTTGGGCTTACTTTCCTGCCACATGAATCTGACTTTGCCACAGCCTTAGAACCATGTTCTTCCAAAAGATTCTAACCAATGTCCATCATGGCACCTGTTGAGTCACAATGCTGGCAGCAAATCTCCGGGTTGAGTGATTAAGGAAGATTTATTATCTTCTTTTCTGTATATGCTGCAGTGAGCATTACTTGTATAATCCAATTCAACACGTTAAATGCCCAGAGGAGAAGGTCTGTTAAAATGTCAGTGCCCACAATATGCAAAGCACGACACACTACACCACTTTTCAAAATCCCATGAGTTGGCAACAGTGCATTCATTATTTAATTGAATTATTAGTACACTAATGATTATTACTACCATAATGAAAGTAAGTTTCATGGTGCAAACGCCGAGTGCGTCACTGAATGCTGGTGAGTGAGTTGGGAGTTTAAAAATGCAGAGGAGGAGATAGCTCTGGTGACTGTATCCGAAGTCCTGAGGAAGTGGACAGAAAAGTTTGCCTGCTTCAGTCAAGCATGGTGCAAATTCAGCAGCATGGCCTGCTGCCTTCGGTGTCATACACGTCAGCTTTCCAACACTAACCAGGATAATAAGGAGCCTTTCTGTAGGTACAGCCTTACCTGGTTAGCCTGGATAAAGATATTCTTATTCTGGTAATAACTTGTGTTAACTATGTTCTATTAACTTATGTAATCCTGCAACAGCCTAAAGTGCAGGGTTTTCTGATCATTTTGCTTTATAGATTAGGACACTGAGGCATAGAGGTACATAGCTAGTAAGTGGCAGAGCTGGGATCTGAACCCAGGGGGGCTGACTCACAGCCCATGACCTTAACTCCTATATTCTACCCCCAGTCTAGGCTGTGCCCCTGTGATGGAACCCAGCTACGTGGCCATGACAATGTGGCTACCTCAAGGCGAGAGGCCCAGCCACCATCCCAAGTGTAAATCCACTTGCTCTTTGCTGTGCTGACTTCACCTGCCCCTAATCCTTGGCTCAAACTGTCTGCACAGCCTGACATGTCCCACCCTATCCCACCCCTCAGCTCCTCTACCACCTCCTCTGGGAAGCCCCCAGCAGCCTCCCTGGAGCGCTAACCCCAGACAGGTCAAGGAGGAACTGATGTCTGTCCCTGGCTTCCCTTGCTAAGCAAGGACCCGGAGCTGCTCATTTCTATTTGCTGGTCCTGAACACCAGACTGCCTAGGTTGATAGGACTCCTCATCGGCACACCCCAAATTAAAAGGCTTTAACTACTCTTCTGAATGATTGTACCTTTCACAACCCACTGAGATGTAATTGCAGAGACGTCCTTTCAGCCAGCAGGGTAAAGTAGTGGCCTTGGAATGGGCTTCAGGTGCGGCTAGAGGGAGGGAGTAGGAGGGAAAAGATAACAGGAAACGGATAATTTTAGCTTAGCCATAACTAGCTGTGATCTTGGACAAGTCCCTTTCCCTCTCTGGGCCTCAGTTTTCCTATATGAAAAGGGGAAATGGTTGGACTCCGTGATCTCTGTCTTTCCCAGTGTGAATGTTCTCTGCCTGGAAGATTAGAGTTCAGTGAGGCACACTTCTAGCCCTGAGCAGGGATCTGAAGCAGCCCTGAGTCCCGTGCTTACCAGCTCTCCTCGCCCTCCAGCAGTTTGCAATAAGTGGCAATTTCCAAGTCCAAGCCCAGCTTGGAGTTCATCACCTCCTGGTACTCCTTGAGCAGGCAGGCCATGTCCTGCTTGGCCTTCTGCAGGGCGGCCTCCAGCCCCACCAGCTTGCAGCAGGCATCACTGAGGGCGGCCTCACCCTGCTGCTCAGCCTGGGCCACAGGGGCCTCCAGCTTGCAGCGCTGTGGGGAAGGAGAGGCAGGAAGGCACTTGAGAAGGGTACAGGCTGTGGAAACCCCAGTGGGTCTCCCAAGGCCTTGGGCATCCCATTTCACCTCAATCCAAGATGGTCAACTTTGACATTAGCTAGGCAGGGAAATAACATCCATTTGGAATGTTCCTCATTCATTTTCGTACCACTCTACTGTAAAACTCAGGTCCATGGTGAGCCATGAGAGGGAGGAAGTGTTAGCACTGGAACAGGACTGCTGATAGTGGTATCATCTCATATTTGTCTGCCATTGTTAAGTTCACAAGACACTTTCACAGATGTTATCTTATTGGACCTTCAAGTTACTCTTTGAGCTTGTCAGACCAGGCATTGCTGTTCCCATTACATAGATGAAGAAATTGAAATTCAGAGAGGCTGTGAGTTGCCCTAAGCTACCTAATTAATTAGTGCCAAACCAAGGTGTTCAGAAGCCACTGTACAGGTCTCCTTGAGATCAGCATTCTGAAAGAAGTTCCCATTTACAATGTCCGACACACTAATTGCAGCTTGTACCTTCTGCCCCACTTAAGGAAGCATAAGGAATTCCTACAGCTCAATAGCTAAAAAAACCCTAAGAACTCAATTTTTTTTAAAATGGACTAAGGACTTGAACAGACAGACATTTCTCAAAAAAGATGTATAAATGGCCAACAGGTATATGAAAAAATGCTCAACATCACTAATTGCCAAGGAGATGCAAATCAAAACCACAATGAGAATCACCTCACACCTGTTGAGTTGGCTATGATTAAAAAAAAAAAAAGACAAGTGTTGACAAGGATGTGGAGAAATTGAACCCCTTGTAAGCCACTGTACAGGTCTCCTTGAGATCAGCATTCTGAAAGAAGTTCCCATTTACAATGTCCGACACACTAATTGCAGCTTGTACCTTCTGCCCCACTTAAGGAAGCATAAGGAATTCCTACAGCTCAATAGCTAAAAAAACCCTAAGAACTCAATTTTTAAAATGGACTAAGGACTTGAACAGACAGACATTTCTCAAAAAAGATGTATAAATGGCCAACAGGTATATGAAAAAATGCTCAACATCACTAATTGCCAAGGAGATGCAAATCAAAACCACAATGAGAATCACCTCACACCTGTTGAGTTGGCTATGATTAAAAAAAAAAAAAGACAAGTGTTGACAAGGATGTGGAGAAATTGAACCCCTTGCACACTGTTGATGGGAATGCAAAATAGCGCAGCCCATGGAAAACAGTATGGAGGTTCCTCCAAAAATTAAAACTAGAACTACCATATGACCCAGCAATCCCACTTCTGAGTATTTATCCAAAGGAATGGAAAGCAGGATCTCAAAGAGATATTAGCACTCCCACATTCATCACAGCACTATTCACAATAGCCAAGATGTAGAAACAACTTAAAGGTCCATTGATAAAGAACATGTGGTATATACATACAGTGACATACTATTCAGCCTTTGAAAAGAAGGAAATTCTACAATATGAAACAATGTGGATGGACCTTGAGGACATTATGATAACTGTAATAAGCCAGACACTGCATGATTCCCCTTATATGATATATCTAAAATAATAAAATTCATAGAATCAAAGAGTGGAATGGTGGCTACCAGTGGCTGGAGGAGTGAGAAATGGGGGATTACTAATCAATAGCATAAAGTCTCATTTAAGCAGGATGAATAAATTCTAGAGATCCATTGTATAAAGCTCAACAATGATGTATGGTTAAAAATTTGTTAAGAATGTAGATCTCAAGTGTTTTTACCACAATAGAAGAGGCATTTTTAAAAAAGCATGTCAGAATGCCAGTGAGGGTAATTTCTAATCTTCTCTAATTTCACTTCTAGAAAATAAACCACTCCCATATTTCATAACCTCAGGTATTAATAATAACAAATCAGTTGTGATACATCTTTCACAATTGAGAACAGCTATACAGAGGGAAAGGACAGAAACTGAGCCAGGTATATGGGGGACCTCAGTATTATGATAGAGGTACCATCACAGTCCAGTGAGCAAAGAACAAAGTATATAACACATTTCCTTACTATATGTAGAAGAATGCAATTGAAACCCTATTCCCTAAATATACAAAAAATAAAGTTCAGATGGACCAAAGGCCTAACTGTGAGAAGTAAAACTATAAAACTAATATTGGGCAAAAATGTAAGATGATACTTCTATAATTCAAACCTCCATCAGTATAAACCATTCAGGTAAGAACTGATGGATTTGGCCACATTCAGATTAAAGATTTCTGGTCAACAAAGGACACCAGAGCAAAGCAAACAGACAAGTGGCAGGTTAAGAGAAGATGAATTGCAACACATATAACTGACAAAAGGTTACAATCTAGATAAAATAGACAAGGGAATACTGCAAATCACCAAGAAAAAAAAAAAGACAGGAACACAAGAGGAAAATGGACAGATGCTATGAACAGGCAATTCTTAGATAGGTAAACGCAAATAGTAGCAAGTGTGTAAGGACACTAGTTAACCAGAGAAATGAAAATCTAAATAACAGTTAGATGCTGGTTTATACCTATTAGAGCCATAAGAATTCAGAGGTCTAATAATAGCAAGCATTGGAGTAGAAGTCCTCGCTTGCCAATAATGGGCACGTATGCTGGCACAGCACTCCGAGGTACTCATGTAAAGTAAGGGGCTATTTACAACTCAACAATTCCATTTCCTTGCTTTATACCTTCAAAACATCTCTCATGTAGGTGCACATGGACAAGTATAAAAACCTATAAAAATGTTCGTGATACGACCAGTTGTAGTAACAAAGACTTGGAAGCAAGCTAAGTATCCATCAGCAGGGGAATGGATAGGTAACTGGTTTATGAATATCATAAAATTCAATACAACAGAAATAATGAAACAGATTATTTATATCAACATGTTTCAAAAACATCTAACTGGCAAAAGGGAAGACTCAAAGTGAGATTTATAGCATAATATCACTATGTACACTTAAAACACTAAAAAGTTCATTTTAAAATCTAAAAAATCTATTTTAATGTATATGTACATATGAATATATGTATGAAAGAGGGACTATAAGAACATAGGCTAAATACATGAGAATGAGTGCTGGAGGTGGAGGGGAATGGAATGAAGTGTCCTTAACAATTTTAAATTACAGAAATGCACAGAGAGCAGCAGTGTGCACTTCAAGCAGAGCAGTGCGGGATCAGTTCAGACCTGCACACCTTGAGTCCACATTGAGAGTGGGGAAAGGAGGAGACAGCAGGAGACAATCTGCACTAGACATGTTGTCTAAGGTATGTTAGAGGAGAGAGACAGTGAAGGATATGCAGGGAAATAAGAACAGAATTCAGAAAAGGTAAATCAGCCAAGCCTCTCCCTACTATGTTTTGTGTGCTACTGATCCTTCAGATGCAGGTGGCTGAAATATAAGCATCTCCCAAGATAGCAGCAGCCCCTCAAAGTAGAAGAAAAGCAGAAAAAAAAGGCCAGAAACAGCAGGTGCACCAAGCTGGGGCTCCCGGACCTGCGGCTTGGCACGCTCCACCTCCACCATCAGCTTCTGGATCATGCGGTTCAGCTCGCTGAGCTCCTCCGTGGTTCTGCGGAGGTTCTCACCCTGCTGGGTCGTGGTGGCCTTCACTTCCTTCACCACCTCTGGTGGTGACACACAGGAACAACCGATGATTGTACATGGCTAGAGTGGGTGCTGGGACATGGCTATGTAGAGCCGGCCCTACTCCTTCCCCTGCCCTGCTGAGACCTCCGCAGTAGCCCCTCTGGGTGCATTTCCCAGGGAAGTTCCAGGTTCCAACTATCCTCCTGGCCAACGGGGAGCCCAGCCCTCTAGTTCACCTTGGTTTGGTACCAGGATTCAGCCTCAGCCTGGCTGCAGCTGGCGACTTCATCATACTGAGCCTTGATCTCGGCCACGACTGAGTCCATATTGAGCTCCTGGCTGTTGTCCATCTTGACCACCACGGAGGTGTCAAGAGATGTGCAACTGAAGGAGGTAGATTTCCTGTAGGGACAACAACCAGTGCCCTCAGCTCCAAATCCCCCTCCAATTACTGTCTCTGCACATAATCCAAAAAACAGTCCCAATCTGAAACTTGAGGAAATAAGTTAGAAAACTACTGGCAAGTCAGGAAAATTTTTAAAGTGTAGCTTTAAGAGGAAAAGGCTGGTATTTGGACCATGGCCTCAAGGTAGTGAGTAAGATGGAATCCCATTAATGCCTGGATCAACAAAGGCAGATTTCTATAGACAGGGATAAATTGGGCCATTCCACCTGAGCCTGAGCTATCCAGATCAGCTGTAGCTATCTGTATAATCCAACCAGCCAGACAATGGACAGATTTAGGGCCCTGGACTTTCTAAGTGTTTTCACACTACATGAATTAATAATTGTTATTTGTTTGTTATTGTTATTTTATCTCTATACCTATACCTATGTTGTTCAATCTCTAACTTCATGTTGTGCTGTATAGACAAGCAATGAGCCCCACTCTTTCAAATCATCTTAAAGGAAGGGCATCACCCATTTCCATTTTGAAAAGGGATCCAAACATGACAAAAGTCTCCCCTGGTCACAGAGGAAAGGATGCTTAGGCCCTGGAAGATAAGGAATGAACAACTTTCTCTACAACCAAAAAACCAGAACAGGTATAACCCACCTGTGGAGATGGGGAGAGACTCACCTCATCATAGAGGGTCCGCAGGAAGCCCATCTCCTCCCTCAGCACCTCCACATTGGCCTCCAGGTCAGCCTTGCGCAAATAGGTGCAGTCTTTGTCCTGGTGGAGACACACAGGAGAGGGAGCCACAGGGTCATTCAGTGCCCCGGAACTCTGCACTCTACAGGGGGCCTTATGCCTTCTCTGGCCCAGCCCGCTCCATCACATGAACATCAGGGAGAACACCTGGTATAGGAAGTATAAAGAAGTTTGGCTCCTACAGACTTTTTTCTGGTTCCTCCAGAACTGGGCTCTTGCTGAAGCAGGTAGCCTAACATCACGGCCCAAAATGTTAGGTTGCTAATACTGAACCAAATTGGCCCACAGAGCATGACCATGGGCAGCCACAGAGCCATGAGTGTACCCCTCCACCAGGTCGTCTCTGGCACCCAAGTCAAGCAACACCCAATGAACACCCAAGGAGCTGCCTGTCCAGCCTGAGACCAAGGTCATCCTTCTCTTGGCAGATTTTCTACCAACCCTCTCTCCCTTCCATGATTACTCACACATAAGATGTCTAGTTTAAGAGCCTTAATATATGCTTCAACTCACAAATTTGAAACCAAAGCTAAATCATTAGCAGTTTTTCCTTCTGGTTTTTTCATCATCTGCAATTGGGTCACAGCTCATAACATCACGAGCAAGCTGAGAACCAACACCTCCTGATCTGGGAGGCAATGTCGACAAGACAGTGGAACTGATTTAAAAGTGATTGTTTCAGCTAGTCGGGGAGTTTACAAAAAGCCAAACAGCTGCATGTGAGGTTTTCTTTATACAAAGCCTCTGTCAGCACAGGCTGGGCTCCTTCACAGGGCCCAGGAGGGCTTCCACAGCCTGACTGACCGACGGGCCTCCCTTTGCCAGAGCCTCAGGTGCCCAGCCACTGGAACTGGCCTGATGCCAACTTGGCAAGATGGCCAGTCTCAGACCTCCAGCATCCAAGATCTAATTCCTCCCCATGTGGGAAGAGTCGCCTTCTTCAGCACCACAAGCTCATTCTCAGCCATGGCCCTGAGTGCCACGTCTTCTTTATACCTGAAGAGAGGTAGTACAGATTGAAGGCCCCTGGGGATGAAGGTTTGGGGCTGGCCAGCTAAGCCTACATTTTCAAGACTCCCTGTTTCTGCTTGACTTTGTGTGTGGGAGAAGTGGCTTGGCCTCTCTGGACTTCTATTTCTCAGCCACAAAGAACTTGCCAAAAGGACACCGGACTTGGAGCCCCGGTCCCTGGTTTCTGGTCCAAGCTTCAGCTGAAGTGGCTGCAAAACCTCAGCCAAGCCATTTAATTTCTCTGCATCTTGGGTTAAATCACCTTGTGTGCAGTAGGCCTAGTGAGCAATAAGGCCTGGTGAGCAGTAATCTGTGAGCAGTAGGCCTGGTGAGCAGTAAGACCTGGTGAGCAGTAAGGCCTGGTGAGCAGTAAGGCCTGGTGAGCAGTAAGGCCTGGTGAGCAGTAGGCCTGGTGAGCAGTAGGCTGTGAGCAGTAAGGCCTGGTGAGCAGTAATGTCTGGTGAGCAGTAAGGCCTGGTGAGCAGTAATGCCTGGTGAGTAGTAAGGCCTGGTGAGCAGTAATGCCTGGTAAGCAGTAGGCCTGGTGAGCAGTAAGGCCTGGTGAGCAGTAGGCCTGGTGAGCAGTAAGGCCTGGTGAGCAGTAGGCTGGTGAGCAGTAAGGCCTGGTGAGCAGTAGGCTGTGTGCAGTAGGCCTGGTGAGCAGTAGGCCTGGTGCTCAGTAAGGCCTGGTGAGCAGTAAGGCCTGGTGAGCAGTAGGCCTGGTGAGCAGTAAGACATTCTGTAAATAGCTGTGGAATGAATAAAAGAGCAATGCCTTAGGGGGGCTTTGAACCCTAAAACTGTACACAGAACACAAAGTCCCATGAAGGTTCTCCTTCCCCACTTCAACATACAAGCACTTACCATCCTGGAAACTACCCATTGTGCCCAGACTGCTGGGGGCATTTCCAAAGCCGGCCTCTGCCAGCCTGGCCCCTTCTCTAGCTCTGGCCCTTGAAGTCTTATCCCTGGAGCAGCCCTACCCCGTCAGACAAGAGAGACCAGAGTTCCCAGAGCACTGTTTTCACAACTTTTTAATGACAGGGTAATTTGGACTGCTATGAACTCTGAGCTCTATAATTACCAGCCCTCAGCCCCCAGAGGGGAAGACAGACCCTGACACTTACAAACGGAGCTGTGTCTCCATTTGCAATGCCCCAGGGATGCGAAAACCTTTTGCTGGGTCCATCTAATGGTAAAACCTGCTCTTCCAAGACGAATTCCACTTCCAGTTAGAATTACCAGGACTGGTTATGTCAAAATCACCCTTTATTCTGTCCATTTCTACTGGGTAAAAAGGGGCAAGTTAACAGGTAAGCCAGTGAGTTTAAACTAGGTAATGGCCAAACTAAACAAGTTGGTTTTACATGGGCCTTTGTATTGCTGAGCCTTGCAGACCAAGACCTGATGATCTGTCTGCAGAACAAATGAAAGAATTATCCAGAAGCCTTGAATGACATCAGAAGATTGTCATCGAGATATCTCCCCAGGGACTTTTCCTTTCCACCAATCCTGGCAGTGACTATTCACAAGTTACTCTCCAGCCCTCTTGATGTCCGTGCTTCTGATCCATTTGTTTCTCTCTCTCCACCCCTGGGTCAGTCTGTGCTCTAGATATGTGCCCCACCCCTCCCAGGCTAGGAGCTTCTCTCTCCAAATCTTTTCCCAGTTCCCGGGATGGGGCTACCAGAGCTAGAAGCCAAGACAAGACCCAGTAGACTGATAAAGCAGGGCCATCTGACAGCCCAGAATGACCGATCTTCAGCTGTCTTTGCCCCCAGGATAGCTATATGGACGCAGCCAAGACCTACCCTATACCTGTCACCACCACAGCCAGTCACACTCACTTCTTCTTGTAGCCCTCCAGCACCTCCTGCACGTGGTTGAGCTCAGAGGCCAGCCTCCCACTGTCAGCCTCCGCACACTCGGCCTCCCGCCTCAGGGTCTCGATGTAGCCATTGAACAGCGGCTCCAGGTTGCTCTCACAGCACTGGCGGTTCTGGTAGAACTGCCACTTGGTCTCCAGAAGCTTGTTCTGCTGCTCCAGGAAGCGCACCTGCCGCCCAAGGTGGGGAAAGAGACTCAGGGGAAGCCGGGGCGGTGCTTGGTTCCCCAGAGCTCTCTCTGCCCTTGGCGATGGCCCCTGACCTGTAGCAGCCTATCTTTTGGCAAAGTGTGAAAGTGCAGGTCACAAGTGTTCCCCAAGTGACATTCCCTCACTCCATCTCCCTCCGAGAAAGAGCACACAATTTATTTATGATTATTTTTCCTGCACAGAATGAAATAACATCTGATCCTGTAAAAATGCCCCAGACCATGTGTGGTAGGCCAAAGTGACCTCTCAAATTTGTCATAATATCCTAATGCCTGGAACCTGTAAATATGTTATATGACATGGCAAAAGGGACCGTGCAGGTGGATTTAAGGTTATAGACCTGAAGATCAGGATACCTCCTAAATTATCCAGGTGACCCCAAGGTAGTCTCATGGACCTTTTAAAGTGGAAAAGGAAGGTGGAAGAGTAAGAGACGTGTTCTGAAGAAGGGGGCAGAGGAGAGATTTGAATCATGAGAAACACTCTGCCCTCCCACCAGCGCTGAAGCTGGAGGCAGAGCCATGAGTCAGGAAGGCTGGTGGCCTCCAGAAACTGGGAACAACCTTGGACAGCCAGCCAGCAAGGGAACAGGGACCTCAGTCCTTCAATTACACTGGACTCAATTCTGCCAAAAGCTGGTGTGTGCCTGAAAACAGGTCTTCCCTAGGGCCTCCAGAAAGCAACGCAGCCCTGCTGACACCTTGATTTCAGCCTCATGAGGTCATTTGTGTTGTTTTAAGCCTCTAAGTTTGTGCGCATTTTTATGGCAGTGATTTTTAAATGGACCCACGAGGACTTTCCCCCTCTCTGACCCTGGAGCATGTGAGCCCAGGACGGGGATCCTGGACCAGGAGTTAGATTTCTCACTGCCTAATTCTGCCACTAACAGGCCACTGTGCCTCCTTCTCTCTGAGCCTCATTGTAAACTGGGGCAGCAGGAATATGTCGGCAATCATGCACAGGCAGCCCCAGGCACTATCTGGCCCACAGGCATGTTTTATTTGGCCTGCACACTGTGTATAAAAATTGGATTCATCACCAACATTTAATAGAATGATTTCAGGCAAGAATCTGAATTTCCCTGACCTTGACAAACGAGAAGCTCAACACGGGGCCTGTGTCTGGAGTGAGTCCAGTGGTGGGGGCTGCCTCTCAGCCAGGCTCCATGCAGGTGCCAGCTAAACTAGGTGATCTCTTGAGCCCTGACCTTCAGGAGTACAAGTGTGGTATAAAGCATCTCTCCATTGCCCACACTTGTGGGAAAAGGAACCAAAGCTGATTATCCAAAAGGCATCTGCCTGGGGTTCTCACATGCAGGCCCAGGTCTTGGGGGCAGTTCTCTGGCTTGCCTGCTCTGCAGGCCTAAACCCATCACAGAGACACAGTTTGCACACCAAGGGAAGGATGCTGGAAGGAGGGAAGGATGCTGGAAGGAGGTTTCAGCAACCCCAGGAGAGGGAGAACAGCTGGGGCAACAGTGTGGGTCTCTCCCCTAAGACCAGAACCGACCCCTCCTCACAGAGAAAGCAGCATACCTGGGTGATGCCCAGAAAGCCACACGCAAAGATCCCTTCAAGTCCGCATGCTCAGGACCCTCACTGTGCTTTTGAGCAAATTAGGAAAAGTTGCCCTCTGCAGGCAGATGCAGCCACCTGCCAGGGCACACAGCCTGGCAAGAGCGTGGACGGGATTTCAACCCCCGCCCCACTCCACCCTCGCGGGTGTCCTTGTGCAACAAATACCCTGCATGATTCTATAGTTAGCTTCTTTGTGCCAGTGGAGAGGAAGAATGGTTTGGATGCCAAAAGCATATTAGGAGCAGGTGTTCAGTGGCTTCTCCTGCAGATGCACCCCCGTCAGACACGTCCATTGCTGCCAGCGGTGTCCATCTGAGGGCAAAGCTCCACCTACCATCACCAGTGTGCTTCTTTTTACAAAGTCCCTGGGTGGTGATGTGCACACCAGTCACCCCTGGAAGAGGAACCTTTCCTCCCTTGGACTTCAGTGGCTATCCACCCCCAGAGATCAGAGTCTCAGAGGGGGCACCACTGGGTCAAAGGACACCAGGTATAGATCCATCCAGATGGCAGGCTCAGAGACTGCCCCCTCAGAAACGTGCAATTCAACAGCCCCTCCATTCCCTCCCCTAAGGTTCTCTATTCACTGTCTTTAATCTGTGTAAGTGGTGGATATGAGGGAGCGTGCCAGTGGCAGAAGTCCTGGGAGTTCCCAGCCCTCCTACCATGTCCCCACCGGGAAGGAGCAGACAAGGAGCCTCTGGCCCCTCTCTGCTTGGGCTCTGCTCTCCACACTGGGGGTGGCAGCATCTCCTCAGGAGGAGTTCAGACCCTAGCCAAAGCAGAGACGCCCCTCCGCCCCCGCCGGCCCTCTCACTGTGATGGAAAGATCCAGAAGATGGGGCTGCAGGCACACTCAACTCTTGCTGGATGGTGTGAGCAGCAGGGACAAACCTCCCTGTTCTGTCAGGTTTCACATTCATTTGACACTCAGGGAGATTTGAGAATCCAGACCCTGATTCAGCCACATCGTCCAGGCCACATGCTAATCGGAAGCAGGACTGGGACTCCAGGGATTTGATTCCAGTCCATCACTGGGAGGCATTCCCTTGCCCCTTGCTAAGCCACAGCCCCAGGGAACAAACCACAGACCCACCTTGTCAATGAAGGCAGCGAACTTGTTAAGACACTTGATCTGCTCCTTCTCCTTGTGCTTCACGCACTGGGTGCTGGGGTCGATCTCCACGTTGGGGGTGCAAGGAGGGTCTCATTGACCATCACGGTAGTGATGCAGGGTAGGCTGGGTCCGCAAAGGCCCCCTGCCTGGTAGCCAAAGCTTCCCCTGCTATATAGGGACCATCCACAACTCACCACAAGCTGCGGGGGCCCTGCTACACACAGGCTCCAGCTGCCGAAGCCCCTGAGGCGCCTGTAGCCAGGTCCCCCAGGACCACCCCCACAGTAGGCCACGGCACTAGAGACACTGAGAGCTCCAGGCTTGGGCACAATGGCCAAGCAGGAGCTGAAGTCCCTGACCCCATAGCCAGGTCTGATGCGGTAGGACCGGCTGGCCATGCTGCTGCTCTGCAGAGCAGTGCCAGGGGAAGTGGAGAGGAGGGAAGGGCACAGGTCTCACACCAGTGACCTGGTAGTGCTCCTTTTATCAGGCAGCGATAGGCCTCCAAACAACAGAAAAGGCAGGAGAGCGTTATCAATGCCATTTATGAGCGTGGGAATCTCCCCCGGCATGCTGAGAAAGAAAGCAGAACCTTGCCTCCTTTAATAGGCATATCAAGGAGACCCTGCATCACAATAAGCCTGTCCCCTGCCTTTTCACTCCACAGGCCTAGACATATCTGTTCAGCCCCTAATTCTCCTCCTGCCCTGTGAGTAGACCTGGGATCATTATCCCACATAGGCCAGTGGCGGTGCAGGCCAGCACATTCCTGAGACTCAAAAGGTCCCATGTCCACTGAGGTCCCCCAGCCCATCCCTCCAGGAGGAGCACGTGTTTCTCCGCTAAGGCTTCGAGGGCACCTGGCTCATGCTCCCAGGTTGATCACACCTGCGGTGTACCTCTTCAGGCCTGCCCTCTTATTGCTCTTAACTACATTCTGTCTAATAGTAGAGATATTGGAGTTGGTACTGCCCTTGATTCAGAAATCATGTCTTTTATATCCCTCATGGCAACCAGCATATTATATTATAAGGCCTTCAAGAAGCATTGCATCAATTGAATAGACTGGACACAGGAGGGAATGGTCAATACCTAGAGAGCTTCCTGACCCAGTCCACAAATGTTCATGGACCCTCCAGTGCATGTCCAGGAGCCTGCAGAAAGTACCTCCATTCTCTGGCAAGTACTGAGGTCCTGCCAGAGAAAGGCCCTAATCTACGTGCCGAGGGAAATCCAGCTGCGTGGCCAGAGTTTACCCATGAGCAACCTGGATCTCAGGGGGAGACCAGACGGAGGCTGGGAAGGCCCAGGGCAGGAGAGGGAAAGATGACCTACCAGGTAAGGGGTGCTCCTGGCTTTCTGAGGGATCCACTCACAGCAGGTTGGGGTCACCAAGGAGTGAGTCCTGATGCAGGTCCTAGAGGATGGTGGGTTTTGGCAAGGATGCCAGGCACAGCCACTGTGCAAGCCTGACAACCACAGAGGTCACCCAGTTCTTCAGAGCCCTCACGAAACCAGGGCCCTCGGCCAGGGCTGCTCACGCCTGGCCTCCCCCACACCCGACAGGATGCCTTCTGGGTCGCACCCTGGAAGAGCACTCTGGAAGCAGGACCCAATGGGAAGAGCACCTGCCCTTGTAGTTGGGTGCAGCCCCCACTGTAATGATGCCAGTTCCCCATGACCTTGAGCAAGGTCACAGTACAGAGAATCCTGTGCACAAGGACAGGAACAAGAAAGCATCTTCTAGAGCTCCTTCTTGAGGTAACAGGCTTGGGGAGAGGGCATCAGAAAAGAGCCAAATGGAACAAGAGAGAATGGGGGTCTCTCTGCTCTCTTTTTCTTTCTCACACAGACACACAAACACACACACACCCCTCACCACAGGAAGACACAGATCACAGGATCACGTTCAATGACTTCCAACATCTCCCAGGGAAATCATGCAGTCTCCTTTCTGCTGGAAGTCCTTTAGAGTCCATCATTCCAGTGGGCTCATGTATGGTAAATAGACATGATAGGTAGATAAACAGATACATATATACATACAGAGACAGATAGACATAGTCATATATCACTTCACCAGTTCTCTGCACCACATATGGGTCTATAAGACCTCTTTTTACCTCTTTTCTGGGAGTCTTGGGACAGTCAGTCCTCCACCAGCCAACTCAGACATGACAAAGTCCACCCGGCAGGAGTGACTGAGTAAAAACAGTTCAGTTTTGTTTTGTGGTGTTTGTTTTGCCTTGTTGCAGCCCCTGTGCAGATCTCCATGCAGAAGAACGTTGTATGGAGTTGTTCTTGGAAGGCTCTCTGGTGAAAGGGAAATAACTGGGTAGGGAAAAAGCCTAGAAGGAGGATCGGGAGAGCTGGGGAGTGATGAGAAAATATTTGGATCAACTTTGATCTGCATGTAAATTATCTAGATGTCAATTTCTTACCATAGTTGTCAGATCTGCTTAGTTCCCCCCTCTTACATGTTTCTGTCTACACAGACTCCCAGTCCCAACGCAGAGGTGGAATGGCCAAGCTCTGACTGCACCTTCCCTCTTGTGCACTGACCACCTTGGCTGAAACCATCTATCTGCTCCTTCGTACGTCAAGTTAGCCATTTTATCATTTCCCAAAGTGTCCTCTCCCCAGGTGTGACAATCAGGAGATCACCATCTCTCCAACCTCAGGGCCTCTTTTTTTTCCCAAGAAACAAAATTTCTGACAGTCGTTCCCCATCACTGCTATACAGTCTTTCCATCCCCTAGAATGTGACATTATCTGAGCCCAAGGCCTGTAAAGCACTGAGACAGCCATGCTATCGTGGCCCTGACCTTCAGCTCTCGCCTTGCACTTTCTCCTGGTGAAGAGTTGTATTCTGATAGGAAAGACAGAAGCAGACCTGGCTGGAGCGCTTGCCTTTGCTTCTCTGATTTGTTACTGTCGCACTCTCTTCCCCAGCCAACAGGCTGCTCCTCACCATGTCCCAGTCCTCACCTGTAAGCACCTGAGCTGCCTCTGGTCCCCGGCATTGCTTGTGAAAAACAAAAGCAAACCTTTTTGCTGTCTTCAGAACTGAAATTGTATGACCCACCTTCAAACTTTTGGGAAGGTAGCCTTTTTAAAGCTGTGTTCAGATACCTCTCTCTTTAGCAACATTGATTCCTTTGAATGCCTAGCTCTGTCTCTTTTCATTAAAATGATTCAGGACAGTATTATCAGAATTCCGTTTTATATTCCTTCTTGCGTCTCTGAGTATGCAATCACACCAATCATTTCTTGAAATTCTATTTTAAAACATACTTCTCTAGAATCTTGGTAAATGGTGTGTTCTAAAACATTCTCCCATTACTATATGGAATGACAAGGGACAAAGTCTCTTTCTCCTAGGTTTGTTTACGTTTACACCACCAACCAGGGCTTCCTGGACCAGGAGGGTGCTACACCTCCTGGGTTCCTCCGCCTCCTGGGAGACACGTCTGTTGAGAAGGGACCCCAAGGGTCTCAAGTTCTCTGCTCTTAGCATCTGTGGTAAGGTGTCTGGCAGGTGTCCAATACAGGAAATTCTTCACTCAACAATATTCAAGTTTTGTAGTCTGTGTTTGAAAGCATTTTCTGTTGAGAAGGGACCCCAAGGGTCTCAAGTTCTCTGCTCTTAGCATCTGTGGTAAGGTGTCTGGCAGGTGTCCAATACAGGAAATTCTTCACTCAACAATATTCAAGTTTTGTAGTCTGTGTTTGAAAGCATTGTTTCCGTCCTCTAACAAGATGGTTGTTTCCATCCAGTTTTACTTCCTTTCCTCTTTCCTTTTCTCTTCACTTAAATACTTCCTTCCTCGACTCCATGGGGTTTTCAAATGCTTGTTCACAGTGTAACTTCTTTTCCCTTATATTAAAGCTTGTTCTTCTCTGCAAAGTCATCTGTCCTTTAATCCCAGCGATTGGGAATTTACAACAGTCTCTTCGGTTAATACTCCAGGTTTACTTTGTTAGTTCCCTGTCTTCATCATGCTTGCTCGAGATGTAAGGAAGACACATGTCTGAGCCTGGAAGAGCAGGGGAATACACTACATGGCTTTTCTGTCTTGGCTTCAGTGCGAGGGTACTTGGACTTCTTACTGATATCACCAACATTACAAGAGTGTCCCCCAAAAAAATCCAGAATGGGAGAATCTCAACTTGAATTTTCTGCTATGCTCAGCTCCTGAAGGAAATTGCAACTCCTGGCCAGTTTCTTAAGCTGGAAACCACCAGGGCTGCAGTGTGGGACGTAGCTGTCAACAGAGCTGTGGAGTGAGCCCTGTTCACAGCCCACCCAGGCTGCCCTGCCAGGCATCTGTGTTGGCAGCAAGCCTTTCCTCAGCACCTGAATGGGACTGGCAAGAGTATCATGGCCACACAAGCTAATGTTCTGTGGCTCAGAGGCAGCATGGTGACCACTGAATACACATCTTCTTCCTTGTCCAGGAGTCCTTGGCCTGGTCTCACCTATCCATTCAACAATTATGGATCAAGTGTCTGGGTGTCATGCAGTGTGCTAGATGCTAGTGACACTAATGTGGACAAGAGCCAGTCCTGCCCTCAAGTGGTCCACAACAGCCTACTGGTCCCAGCAGAAAATCAAGTATCTCCAATACAGTGTGGTAATCGACATGTGCAAAGATACATGGCTCTGTGAAAAGGAAATGGGCCCTATACCAAGTCTTGGTTCCCAAACCCAGGGGAGAGCATGCATAAAATGAAGGAATGAAGACGAGTGAGAATAGACCCATCAGGGCTCTGCGGCTGATGGAGCATGACTGGAATGCAAGGTGTGCCCTGCAGAGGGGGAGGAGTGAGGCTGGAACACATGAGGTCCCATCTCCAGACCTGGTGCCACGCCCAGGGGGTTAGGCTCCATCCTGTCAGCAAAGGAGAATTCATCTGATAGTGACATAGAGGGGCGGGTGGGCTGGGACGGTTGGTGATGAACGAATGGATAGGTGGTTAAGAGGAAGGCAACTGGATTACAGCCAGATCAACTAAGTAGTGGGGTGAAGAACAGACCATGGGAATGCAATCAAAGGCAGGAAACCCAGTTAGCAAGCCATCACGTGAAATGAAGAGAGAGATAACGTGGACCTCAGCTAAGACAGTGTTGGAGGAAATGGAGCAGCAGCAGAAAGGACCACGAGGTGAAAGAAGGGCTTGGCAATTTATTGGATATGGTAGGAGAGGGAAGGAGTCAAGACAATTTCCAGTTGACAAGCCATGAGGGAAGGTGGTGCCAGTCTAGCTGTGGGGGAGGGGGCAAAGCACCGGCTTGGCCTTGCCCTGGTGGGGGCCTGACGTCAGTCGTGGATGTGTGGAGGCTGAAACACCCACGGGACCTCAAGACAGAGGAAAGGGGACAGCACTTCCCTGTACT